ATAGATCTTTCTCTCACTGAGCTGGATGAACTCCAAAGGATAATCTTTCTGTTAGCAATCAGCACACCACCAGGGCTCCTTGTATCTGCCATAAACCCAGTCCAAACGTGATGCCATCAAATTTATTCCGACTCACAGTAACCCTTACAGGACAGAGAAGAACTACCCCACGGGGTTACTGTTACACAGAGACTACTACATCTTTTTCCTGAGGAGTGGCTGCTAGGTTCCAACCAACGACCTCTCAGTTAGCTTCTGAGCACTTAACCACTGTACCACCAAGGTTTCCTTCTAACCTGCCATGGTGGTGGTGGTGGTTATGTGCCTTGGAGTCGGTTCCAACTCACAGCAACCCTGTACAGAGTTTCTGAGGCTGTAAATCTTTATGGAAGCAGAAAGCCTCATCTTTCTCCCCTGGAATAGCTGGTAGTTTCGAACCGCTGACCTTGAGGTTTGCAACCCGATTCATTACCACTACGCTACCAGAGCTCCTTTACATAATGTATGAAAAATACCTAGCACAATGCCTGGTGCTTAAACGGTTATTGTTAAATGCCTTTGAGTTGATTCTGACTCATAGTGGCCCTGTATAGGGTTTCTGAGGAGTGGCTTGTGGGTTTGAACTGCTGACCTTGCGATACAGTATAGTGCTTATCCTACAGCACCACAGCAGGACTTTGCAATCTAGGTTCTATTATAAACTGAAGCTTCAAGAGCTTTTGCAATATCATTCTGTTGAGTGGGGTTAGGGAAGGCTTCCTGGAGGAGAGGTGCTAGAGCAATGGTTCTCAACCGACAGTGACTTTACCCCCCAGAGGACATTTAACAATGTCTGGGGATGCTTTTGATTGTCATGAATTAAAGGTATATGTGTTACTAGCATCTGGTAGGTAGAGGTCAGGGGTGCTACTCAACATCCTAAAAGGTACAGGATGGCTCTCCACAAGCAGAATGTGAGCCCCTGAAGGGTAGTTAGGATTTCAAAATTGGAAGAGATAGTAAGGAGTTAGGCAGTAGGATCATCATGAACAAAGGCACAAAGTGTCAGTGTCGGTGGAGGAGAAGTCCACTTTGGCTGGATGTGGACAGGTCAGCAGATCTGACTGGAAACAGACTGCGAGGAATGATGGGGTCATTGAATGCTATGCTAAGAAGTTGGTCCTGTACCTGGCTTTTAGCAGAAAAAAATATCTGATCAGATTTCTTATTCGCAATCATTCTCAGAGTTTTGTGAATGATGGGTAGGAAGGCAGTAAGACTAGGAGGGGATACAATTAGAGGCCATTGCCAAGCTAGCAGCTGTATTTGGGTATAAGCTCATCCTGGGAGACTTCATAATCAACATCGGCATAGCACAAGTATACAAACCCAGGAACCAGATGGCCTCACTCTGCTCACACTACAGGTAGGGACAGGAATTGTGCTGGACTCAGGTGGAAATGAGAGGCAGTCTCGGGGTGGACAGTGGCAAGGAGTCAAGGAGTCCCAAGTATTTCACCTGACTGGGGCAAAGAACTAGAAGAAACAGATGGCTGGAGATGAGGCTGGAGAGATGGTTAGGGGACTTTTGGTCACACTGAGGAGTTTGAGATTTATCCTAAAGGCAGCAAGGAGTCAGAGACAATTGTACACAAGAGACTTATGCCATATTTGCGTTTTGGAAAATCACTGTGGTGGAGAGTAATTGGGAGAGAAAATTGTCTAGACAATAGAGTAGTCTCAAACATCAGGGTGGGTCAGAATTATCTGGTGGTGGTCATGGTGGTTATGTACAGTGGAGTCCGTTCCGACTCATATCGACCTTGCATGGAATTTCCGGGCTGTTAATCTTTACAGGAGAAGAAAGCCTCATTTTTCTCCTGCGGAACAGCTATTAGTTTCAAACTGCTGACCTTGAAATTAGCAGCCTGACTCGTAGCCACTACACTACCAGAGTTCTTTAGAATTATCTGGAAGACTGTCAAAATACAGACTGCTGTGGATTCAGTAGCCATAGTGTTTGGGTCCAAACTCTGTTTGCCACTTGAGCCTTATACTTTAACGTCTTTTGCAAAATGGCGATAAGGAACAATAGCAGTGTTTACCTTATGGAATTTTTCTTGTAAGGATTATGTGAGTTACTACACTTTATTTGATTGGGTCAGTGCACACAGAATGCATCGTATACATGTTTATTAGTGATATTTCTTAGAAGAAACATAGCCAGAATTCTCCTTAGAAATAAGCATGGCGAGAATTTGTCTCTGGTACTTTGGACATGTTATCAGGATGGACCAGTCCTTGGAGAAGGACATCATGCTTGGAAAAGTGGAGGGTCAGCAAAAAAGAGGAAAATCTCCAATGAGATGGACTGACACAGTGGCAGCAATAATGGGCTCAAACATCACAATCATAGTGAGGGTGGTGCACAGCCAGGCAGTGTTTCATTCTGTTATACATAGGGTCACTATAAAATGGAACTGACCCAAGAGTACCCAAAAAAATTATTGTTATTAGTATCCAACAATACTGTTTATTTTCCCACTCTGTCCCTCAAAGAGAGTCATCCACTTCTCATTTGCTAATGTTGTGGCGCTGGAGGATAAACACTCCAACTGCAGGGTCGGTTTGAACTATAAGGTCAGCAGTTTAAACTCACCAGCCACGCCTCTGAAACTTACAGGGCCGCTATGGTTTAGAACCGATTCAACAGCACTTAACAACAACAGTGTGGTGATTGGCTGATTTTACTCATAGCTTTCTTCACCCCTGAGTCCTTTTGAGTTTGTGACCCTTCAAGTGAGAATTCACTATCACTTACCACCCAAACCCATCGAGTGGATTCCGACACATAGCAACCCCATAAGCAGAGTAGAACTGCCTGATGGGTTTCCAAGGTTGTAAATCTTTATGGAAGCAGACTGCCACATCCTTTTCCTATGGAGTGGCCAGTGGTTTTGAACCGCTGACCTTTTGATTAGCAGCTGAGCATTTTAAGCATTGCATCACCAGGGCTCTACTCAGAGTGCTATGAGTTCTCCACAAATTCATTTATTCATTTTTAAAGTATTTATTGCACACCTACTATGAGCCAAAGGAGGTCTGGGAGTGCAGTGGTTACAAATTGGGCTGCAAACCTTAAGGTCAGCAGTTCAGAACTACCAGCTGTTCCATGGGGGAAAGATGAGGTTTTCTACTCCCACAAAGATTTAACAGCCTTGGAAACTCTGTATGGGGTTGCTATGAGTCGGAATTGACTCCATGGCACGTAACCACCACCACGATGAGGCAGACACCTCTGCTCTGGGCACTGGTCATAAAAGTCCAGAGAAATTTAATGACAAAAGGAAAGGCAGGGCTGGTGAAATCTCATGAGGCCATTAGGCATAAAATAGTTCTTTTCTATGAAGGAATTTTAACTTGTAAGTTCATAAAAATATGAATGTGGATCCTGGTGCGGCGCGATAGAACAAGCACTGTACTACTACCTTAAAAATCGACAGTTCAAACCCACCAGTCACTCCTCAGAAACCCTATACAGAGTTGTTATGAGTTGGAATTGACTGGATAGCACTTAACAACAGTGAGGGTGTGGGAGGAGGAAGACGGGAGTATACCACATAAGAGTGTGGCAGAGAAATGGTACAAACAGAACAAGAATGAATAAAAGTAATGACAGATGATGAAAAACATACCCAGTATCACCAAAGTCATTTGTGCAGAAATTGTTAAATGGGAACTTAACCTGCTGTGTACATGCTCACCGTAAATACTATAATATATGAAATAATAATAATAATAAACTAGGCTAGCCCATAAAACCCAACTCACTGCCATGGAGTTGATTCTGATTCCTAGTGATCCTGTGTATGATTTCTGAGGCTATCCATCTTTTATGGGAGCAGAAAGCCTCCTCTTTCTCCTGAGGAGTGACTGGTGGATTTGAACTACTGACCTGGTGGCTAGCAGCTCAATGAATAACCCACTCTTCAATTATGTGTTCAGAAAGAAGCACAGGTAGTTTTATATCACAAATTTAAAAAAATATTTTTGGATAATTTAATTTCAATAAAACTCATCTCCTTTGTGTGTGTGTGTGTGTTTTTAATAGTATAACTTAGAAAGGAAAGGCAATAAAATGTCAAGTTCTAAAAAAGAAAAATGAACAAAAACAAAACCAGTAACAATTTGAAATCTCAAGTTAACTGGCCAAACATATAGGACCTGACCAAAGAGAGAGACCAATAATGTCAAATTCCATGTTACATGATGTTTATTATGTTTGAAATATTGCCTTTTCCCCTACTCATATGTCACTTCATAAAATAAAATAATTTTCATTTAAAAAGAAAAAAAAAAAAAAAAAAGCAGACTGCTGGGCCCCATCCCCAATATGTCTTGGGTGGAACTTGAGAATTTACTAACAAGGTGATGTTGATGTTTCTGATGCCAGGACCACACACTTTGAGAACCACTGCGCTAGATCCTTGCCTTTCAAACATGTGGTCCAGGAGAAAGCACCTTTGGCATCTGGGGAGCTAATTAGTCTCTCAGTGCCACACTAGAGGGATGGAATCAAAATCTCCCTTTAACAAGGTCCCTGAGTGATTCATATGCACATTAAAGATTGAGAAGTACTGGTCTTTGTTCTATCTCACAGTGAACAGCAAAGGTCTGGGCTTCTGTTCAGGATTTATCATTAAGGCCTTGCTGACTATAATCATTCACCCATAATATGAGTCAGGACCAAGGGCTCCTGTAGTTAGAAACCTCAGTTAAAAGTGGAAGGTATTTAGTCCACCTACTTCGTACATATTTTCAAGAGGGACCAGTCCCTGGAGAAGGACATCACACTTGGTAAAGTGGAGGGACAGCGAAAAAGAGGGAAACTCTCAACAAGATGGATGGGCACAGTGGCAGCAGTAAGCGTAACAACAATTGTAAAGATGGTGCAGGACTGGGTAGTTTTTCACACTATTGTGTGAAACAGAGGGTCCAGCTTCCCTGTCTTTCTCTTGCAGATGGCTGGGCTTTTCAGAACAATGTGGCCATCAGGAATCACCGGAACCTCCAGGACCGCCTGCAGGCAGCTCACCTGCTTCTGGAGAGAAGGCCAACGTGCCCTGTGGTGGTGGACACCATGCAGAACGTGAGCAGCCAGCTCTACGCAGCACTGCCCGAGAGGCTCTATGTGCTCCAGGAAGGCAGGATCCTTTATAAGGTAGTGACCTGGGAGCTGGAGGTCCAGGGAGGGCAAAGGCAGACCTGAATTCAAATCCCCACTTAGTCATTTAGCAGCCATCTCACCATCTTAGAGCTTCAGTTTTCTCATCTGAAAAATGGGGGTGTTGATCGCTGCCTCACAGGGAATGAAATGATGCATGCAAACACTTCTAGCATTTAGATTGGAAATGCGTCTTCTTGGCTGCCTTCTGAACCCAGATGGCTGGTGCAGCTGTGGTCTAGTTTTAAGCCGAGAGGTACAAGATGTGGTTTACATTTTACAAATGAAGCTTAGCCAAGGGAAGTGACTTGCCCAAGATCACACTCAGCAAGGCTCTGATTTCAATTCCAAATCTCCTGGATGGGATGGGCCAGGAGTGGGAAGATTTGAAGTTGCTGATTTCTGAGGAGTTCTCCTGATTGTGCAGTGTTTAAGTATTGAGCTGCTAACCAATAGGGCTGTAGTTCAAACCCACCGCCAGCTCCATGGGAGAAAGATACAGCAGCAGGCTTCCATAAGGATTACAGTCTTGGCTAGAGGATGGTTAAGTTGTTAAGTGCCTTCGAGTCAGTTCCAACTCATAGGGACCCTGTATAGGGTTTCTGAGGAGCTGCTGGTGGGTTTGAACCACTGACCCTGTGGTCCAGTGCTTACCCTGGACACCAGAACTAGAGAGAGGGTAGACACATGTTAACTTGGGTGATAGGGAAGGCAGTGTATAACAAGAGGGAAGTTAGCAGAAGAATGACGAAGGCAAGGGAGGACATCTGGAGGAGTGCAAGAGTTACGGGAACAGAAGTAAATACTTTTATATATACAATCCTGCAATAGTCCTGATGTGGCGCTGTGGGATAATGTACTGGACTGAAAAGTCGGTTTGAACTTCAAGGTTGGCAATTCAAACTCAAAAATCCTGTACTAGGCCTCTATGAGTCAGAACTGACTTGAAAGCACTTAATAACAACATGGATAGATACACAGACTGAACAGGGTGGGAGACATAGTGGCAGTATGTCCACAATACAAAGGTTTGACAGAGGATATTTGTGTATGCATATTTACCTTTGCTGCAAAAATATCCACGAATGTGATGGAGCACATAGGGGGCAAAGTTATGAAAATTTGTTGCTGTTAAGTGCTGTTGAGTTGGTTCCAACTGATAGCAGCCCTGTGTAGGGTTTCCTAGGAACAGCTGGTGAGCTTGAACCACTGACCTTGCAATTCAAAGGGCTTGCAGTCTGGCGCATTAACCCACAGCGCCACACCAGGACTCCTTCTTAGACAATACCAAATGCCTTGAGGGAATGGTTTGCTGAGTCTGGCAGTTAGGGACAATACTCTCAGGAGATACCGTGGTCAATTGGCATAAGATAGTCCACAAAGACAATGTTCTATATCCTGCTTTGGTGAGTGACTAGGATCTTAAAAACTCATGAGAGGCCATCTAAGGTGCAACTATTGATCTCTCCTTGTGTGGAGGTAAGAAGAGTGATCAAAACTCTTGGAAATAATTAGCTAATACCCACTACCCTGACACCAGAAAAACTGGATGGTGCCTTGCCACCACTACCAACTGCTCTGAAACGGATCACATTAGAAGCTCCAGGATAGAATGGGAGAAACTATGAACAAAACTCAAAAGATTACAGCCTTGGAAACCCCATGGGGCAATTCTATTCTGCCCTATGTAGGGTCATTATGAGTCAGAACTACATATGATTTCTTGGGCTATAATCTTTACAGGAAAAGATCCCCAGGTCTTTTTCCCACAGAGCTGCTGGTGGATCTGAATCCCTACCCTTTTGGTTAGCAACCGGAGCACTTGACCACTGCACCAATAGGTAGAGGGAGGCTGGAAAAGAAGGAACTCTGCAGTTAGGAGTTGGGAATGCTGAAGCAGGAGACAAAGGCAGGAAGTGACCCTGTTTCCTTTCTGGTGATAATTTTCCCATCTAGCTTGGACCTAGTGAGGTAAGGTAGCAAGGTAAACACAACCTCTGACCCTTTGTATACTGCTGCCCTACCCTGAAAGGAAAGAGCCAGCTTTCATAGCTGCTAAGGATTTCAGGCCTCAGAAAGTAGATGAAACTAGACCTTTGTGGTTGGACCACCAGCTCCTCTGCCCACAGGTCAAGCTGGCTCTACTGAAGCAGGTGAAACAAGCAACAACTCAAAGATAAATCCCCAGGATGCCAAGGGCCACAGTACAAGAACTCAGGGCCTTCTTCCTTTCTCCTCCTTGAGACAGGGCTCTCAGATGGCATGGTTGATACAAGCTGGGTACTGACTGTCTATTCTGGGGTAGGCCCTGTGTTAAGTGCAGGAATTAAAAATGACCCATGCCTAACGTCAAGGTGCTCATGGTCTCCAGGATAAAGGGGACCCAGATAGAGTGTTACAATGTCTCTAGTGCTGTGAGAGTCTAGGGCAGGGGTCAGCAACCATTTTCAGTACAGTCAGATGGTAAATGATTTGGGCTTTGGGTCATACGGTCTCTATCACAACTACTCAACTTTGCCATATAGCATGAAAGCTACATAGACAATATGTAAATGTAGATAATATGTAAAGAAATGGGTGTGAGACAGTAAGTCCATTTGGCTCTCAGACTGTAAATCTGCTGCCCCCTGAGGAATGGTCAGCCTCTCAGAGGAGATGACAATTGCTTGGACTTTAAAAGGATGATAAGGATTTGGACACGTGTGAGCATGGCAAGTGAAAGTGATTGCAGATCTAGGGAATGGGGCAGGAGAAGGGCACTGAAGTATGTTAGGGCAGATAATGAATGGAGAATTGGGAACACTTGGGCTCCAGGGGTCTCATTCTGTACCAAAGAATTTGGGGGTCAAGTAGAGGCATGATCAGAGCTTTAGCTTCGAAAGATCACTGTCTATTGGGTGAAGCAGGTCAAGAATGGACTAAGGACTGGAGACAGTTGGGAAGTGTGGCAGCTGCCCAAGCTGGTGACAAAGAGGGCTGAAGGAGGACAATGGGATGGGGGACAGAGGTGGTTCTGATGCAGAAGGGGTAGAAAGCTTGCTGTGAGTGAGGAAAGGGAGGGTTACACCAGTCTGAATGTGGAAGAAAAGTGTATTTGCACAGATCTTTTACTCCCTTTTTTTTTTTTTTAATTATAAAGTTGATTATCTTTAAAAAAAATTTTTTTTGTAAATGTTTTATTGTGAATTATGTGATAGTTTACATGGGAGAACATTAGTTTTACATTCATTCTATCATATATCGTCTCATTGCCATGGTTACAATCCCCTCCATGCAATCCTTCCCCCCGTACCCCCCAGGTCTTCAGCACACAGTTGCTCTCCCTCTCTGGATCTAAAGTCTCCAGCTGCCCCATCGCTCCACATCGTCATCTCTGGCTCCATTTCAGGCATCACTGCTTCTCTGAGTAGGGTACCGCTCTCTGCTCTTCTCCCTTGATGGTCCTAGGGACCTCCGCTCCTAGACTGAAAGGTTAATCACTCCCCTCCTTGCTATAAAACATCCACTTTTACATTTCCGACCCTCACAAACAGTCCTGATAACAATTATTCACTATTGTATCACAAGAGACCCCTCTGCATTTCATTGCATCAGCCCCGCCTAGTCAGATTGAATAATACTTACTGGAGATTCTACCTTCCTCCAGGCCCTCAGGATCTAGGTTCCCTCTTGAAAGCTTGTAAGCCAGTCACTTCTTGCCTTTGTAGCCCCAGCTCCCCATTTTGGGTAGCCAATGTCCAAGTTGCCCATCCCTGTCTACTCTGTGTGTGGAGGGGGTGGGAATGATTCTTGCTGTAAGGACTTGTTCCCTCTTTGGAGCTATTGCTTCCATATAAGTGTAGGTCAAGTTCATCAAATTGTATGAGAATACTTTTTTTTTCCCCTCTTCTTTTTACTTCTGGTTGAGCACTGATCATTCAGTCACTGAAGCCAGGATAAGTGGGTATTATCTGCAAGTGTGGGTGTTCTTATGCATATGCCCTCTCTTCTTATCAGCTGGACGCTTCATTCTCCACTCTAGTCCTCTGTGGCTATGTCACTGACTCTGGGCCCAAGAGTCCCCAGGTCTTGCCACACTGTTGGCCAACCAGGTCTTTACCCGGGTTCACAGAAGTCTATTGAACGTTGTAGGGCTTAGCTCACTGCTTCATTGCTGTTTTTCTCTCACTTCCCCTTATCGGTGTTGAACGTGGTGGTCACCAATCACAGCGTGTATTCCCATTGAGTCTGTCTTGGAAGGGGGTTTGCACTGATGGGACCCGACCACGTGCCTTGATGTTTCCTGGGCAAGCAAGTTGCTTGTTCTTGTAGTAATAGTCGGTCTGCCTATGTTGTTTTATATTTTTCCTGTAGGTCTTTCTTTCAAGAACTATCTTCTGTTCTAGCCACTCTAGGTTGGTCTGCTTGTCCTTTCAAGTGGGAATTTCACATCTCTGGAGATCTGGATGTGGTTCAGGCTTCCACCTATAGTCTTATGTATTGCCTAGGCTCCACAGGAAGCCTCCTTCACTGGGCACATTGTAGCCCCATTTTAGGTATCCCAATCAGTTTTAGGCAGAAGACAGACTCTTTTACTTCTTTTGAGAGTGTTACTTTACCCCTTTGATTTTCCTCCTACTTCTCTGTCACCTCTTCCTATTCAATGTTGGTGCCATGGCACACACTCTCTCTGGTTGCATCTGTCATCGTCTGTGCTAGGCTGACAACTCCCACATACTAGTCACTCAAAGACCTCTCTCAACTAAGCCCCAGACCCACATATTCCTGCAAGTAGGAAATCTGAGAATACCTGTTTCATTTCTCTTGCAGGGTAAGCCTGGCCCTTGGAACTACCATCCAGAGGAAGTGCATGCTGTTCTGGAAAAGCTCAACAGTTCATCTGGACAGTAGTTCTACATGGCCACCAGAAGGACTCTTCAAGGCATGGATCTCCCTCACCCCAGCTAACTGGCACCTCTTGACCTGTGTTACCAGCCAAATCACTAGCTCAGTAAATGACTCCCAACTACGGTGTGCAGGTTATAGAATTTGGTCAGGACTGAGTTTTTGATCATCAGAAAATGAATTGATACTTGAGTTGTTCAGGCCACTTAAAGAATGTGCAACTATACTCTGCTTCCACTGTGAAGATCACATTCACTGCTCAATGTCTTAGAGTGAGGGTGCAATCATACTGAACGGATGCACTTCTGAGGGGTGTTCTCTCTCTCCAAGTACTCTGATACCAAGTAGTTACATATGGCATCTTTTATGTTAGGTAAACCAATTTAGCATTTATAGAACTGATCATTTAAGACACTAAACTGGTTTTTAGAATGAATCATGGGAAGAACTCCAGTTTGTTTAAGGAGAGAGGAGGAACTGAGAGAGGAGGAAATAGGAATGGGAGGAGCCAGTAGAGATGATAATCCTTTCACTTCTGAAAGATTTAAACCAGTGAATGGTGGTGGGGGGCAGGGAGGGTAAATTTCCATGGTAATGTGTCTCCAATTCCATCAAGGAAAGAGAAAGTATACATTTTACCATGCTTAAAATATTTCATAGAAATCTGGCTCTTTTATACTCTAGAATCCTCCACTAGTCTCACTTATGAATGAATTTCTCTTAGAAGGGGAGAGCAGACTTCCCAAAATCATTATGACTTTGACTAAACCAGGCAACCTGGCAAAAGTTGTCATTCAGTTATGAAGTAGCTCATATTTAGAATTTTGTTCGTCTGATTTCTTTGCAAGTCTCCTATGGTCATGTGTGCTAGATGGCATCACACTAATGGATACCCATTGGCATTCTTCTGTTTTAACTCTGCCTCTTTTCATATGTTTATGATGGCCACAGCCTAAAGTACACAACAGCTGTGACTTGATTTGAAGAACAAATATTATAAGATGCAGCAAGCTAATACAGGATGATTAAAATACATCAGGTTATTTTGGAGGACTTGTGTGATCTTTTATATTTTCGTGTCTAATTTGTGTCAGCCTGTTCTGTCTTTTATTATAGCCCCCTGTAATCTGATCGGCAAAAATACCACAGACTGGAAGGGCGTCATTTGGTGGGAAGAACTCTGTGTGTCTTTGTGTATTATATGTCGAGTGTGGTTTCATCTGTGAACTCCTGCAAACCAAAAAAACCTCCAAAACAAAGCCACAAATTAACTCATTGAGTTAATTACAACTCATAG